AATATTTTCCTTCTTTCTTGTTTATATTTTTAAATTCAATAAATTAAAATCAATATCATTTTATACGAGACATAATATGAAATAAAATGTTTTAAAGTGAACTATTAAATTAGTTATATATTTTGTTAAATTTCATTAAATTTATTTAAAATATTATGCGATTCAATTAGTCTCAAATATTAATTAGCGCTTTGTTAAGCGGATTTTAATCAACGAGTTTCTGTTTTAGAAGCTGATCCCAAACTAATTCTCAAAAACTTTATTGATAACCAAAATTTTGGTCTTATCTTAATGTTGTTTCTAATACTTTCTTAATTCGTTCCATTCCCCTATTGGTTTACATTTAATTAAAGCCAATCATTAAATCTTCTCTTCAAAAGGAATATATTTATTAATAATTAGGAAGAAGAATAAGAAGAAGAATGTATTACGTAATAATTGTGTTTTTTACAACTGGGCTAATGACACTAAAACCTAGACCAATTTAAAAGAGCTGGGGGAACATAGCCTAATAGCTTTGCCCCTGATGCGATCTCTATTAGACATTACAATTGCCACGAACAATGCTTACCTATCTAGGCGTGCTTAGACGTACTGTTACATACAAAAGTGACAACCATTGAATGATGCTTAATGTACAACTGTCCCTTTTGTATGACTAACAATAAATAATAAAAATCTATTAATCGGTATTTCAAAATATAAATCAGATCACATCTTTGGTAATTTTTTTATTTCATTTTAAACTCTTTGCCATAACACAATAAGTTACAAAGTAAAAGTTTTGTTTTATTTATTATTAGTTTCAGGCGTTGATTGTACCACATACTCCATCCGTTCCGGTAAAAGTAATATTTGTTACATAAATGTTATAATTCATTTTGTTATTTTTTATAGTTGATGTATTTGATTGTTCATCGACCTGTTTTTTGGACATTAACTTCCGATATTGTTTGATGAAATGAAAACTCATTGAGTTATGTAAAAATAATATGGTTTTAATTAACCAGACCTTATGCAATACATCCGATGAAAAATTCATTGCTCACACATAAGGTAACCTTAGTTCTGTTAGCATTTTTCTAAATTTGTTATTTCGTACTCTTTCAAATATATATCGGCGCTACCAGCTTTAATAACGGATGCGACTTGAAAATAATTTGAGGCTGTCATCAATTCTTATTAAACCTCATTAGTATTTATGATTATTGTAAAAAGTAAAACGAAATCAAAGGAGAATAGAACTATGTTTGAATCTTGTTATAAATATGACGTCTGGACTCACGACGGCGGACTCCAGAATTGATAATTCAGAGTTCAGTGAGTGTGTATCATAGAAGTATGTTATTATAAAGAATCTTTGAGAAATACAGGAACATTAAGATGAATTGAAGTTTCATTTTAAAATATCATGGACCGTACTAGAAGAAGTGACATTTGTAACGTCAGCGAGGCTGGCGTCCCTCTCTTTTAAAACAAGGAATTTGTAATAAATCCGATATATATTATTTATTGTTATTCAATTGACTGTCACTACTGTAAATATTTCTTTAATACCTACAAATACAAAAACTTCAAACAAAATTTATTTAAAAAATCAGTAAGAGTGTTATCATTTTAATATCAAATTAACCCAGAAAAGTGTGCTGAAAACAAACTTTGTATTTAATATTTAGTTAATTTAAGATATCATCAAAACTTTAGTTGCTAACAGGAGTTCATTTAACTTTTGTTAAATATTCGGTATAAAGTTGTTTAAAACTTTAAATAGATTTTGATTAATCTTGACAATTTTCCATTACATATACTTTCTATGCCAGCGTCTCTGATAATGAGAATAGTAAAGAAAAATAAATAAGCGACTCCAACTTGTTAACATTAAAATAACTAGCGTTAACCAAAAAAGTAAAAACGTGTTATTGAATTTTAACATTAAAAGTATAATTACTGACTAAAAAGAAAATAAGATACTCTTATAGTAAATTACATATTCTTTTATATATTTTTTTGTTACTCATTAATTTGAGAGAAGACTTCAAAAAACAATGAAGTCAGATTTAACAGAAATTTTGAGCTAAAATTCAAGTTATAGGAAAACTGAATGACTTCTCATAAAAAATATTTAATAGGCAATTTTTGTAGTAATAAATAATCCTTATTCATTTTACTTTAAGGTTTCTTTTTGTTTGGATGATGATGCCAAATATGTTGTACATCAGGTACGTCAGTTTGATAAAGGAACTTAATGAGAGTTCTTGTTTTGCTATTTAATCTAACTTTGGCAGTTTAGGACAATATGTAGAGATTTCTTTGACACAAATTATTATTATACGGCTCTGTTTCCACGAGATTTTGATTAGCTGTCTCAAACAGTACTCAATATATTATAATGTTTGTGATAAATGGTTAAATTAATATTTAAAATTTTGGAAATATTTATGTATTTGATATAAATATAATGAATATGTTTTGTACAATTAAAAAAACCTACAAATATTTTCGAATTTCTTCTGTGAAGTAATCAAAACGTCGGAAGTGAAAACTACTAGTTTTATTTCAAGAATACTCCTAATACAAGTCTAATTTGTCTTTATATGGTAAGTTTACAAATAAATAAATGTGTTTTGAAAAACATTTTACTAGATTAAAAGATTTTACCGTTTAATACATAGTTTATATATAGGTGGACAAAATAACCTTCTTTTAGTGTTGTTGATTAATAACGAATATAAACGTCAAATAAAATTTGTTCACGTAGTTTCCTCTGATGAAAATTATTTGAGCACCAATATGTATATAATATTGATAATTAAAACGCCATTAACGTGAGTAAAGCTATTTGCGATATTTGTTAACTAAATAAATCCGGTATAGCATTTAGTGCACGTATATTTTAAATTACTAATTAATGTTTGCTAAAATAATTAAATACCCTACAATTATATAAAAAAAAATTAAAAAAGCTGCAAATTGTATGAAAAGTAAATAACAAAATAAAAAAAGTTATATGAAATTCAAATCGGTTTAGTGTTGTGAAAATACTAATTCCCGCGAAATAACAAACAACCGTATCATATGTAGCAATAAAATGAAATATCAGAATTTTAACCAGTAAATTCTATTGTATATAAATATTATATAGTTGGATAAAAAATAGTGAAAACATTTATTTTGTTACAAATAAAGAAACAAAAATCTCATCAGGAACTGACTTGAAATTACACCAAGATACATCTAGACACTTCCTAATAATTAAACCTAGATTACACATAATAATAATAAAAAAAATGTGAGGAAGGAACGTTAGGAAGAAAGGCATTAAGTCGTTTAAGAAAATGGAAACAGAATGACATAATGCCCGGATCTTAATTGTCTAGCAAATACATAGAAACATTGTACACCACTGATGGTATCATAAGGGGGCTCAAGATAAGTTGGTTTTTGAATTAGTTCGACCTGTCACTTTACTATAAAATAGCTGGCGAGTTATTGTGACATCACAGTGCAATTTTCGTTCAACAACACAACAGAAATGTTCGCTCTACAGACATATGTGAGTGTCGTTAATATATTATTAATATATTTTTAAATTAAAGTGAAAGTTATTCAGTGTTATATATAGTGCGTACAATCCTTAAATAATCATTAAAAATATATGCCTCTTGGCTTTTAACTACGCTTTCATAGGATAAATAATATTTTTATAATATTCATAAGGATTAATATATTTTGTTTTTTATGAAAACCATATCGTATTTCATTAAAATCAGATTTTATAAATTAAAACTATCAGAATAAAAAGCATATTTTTTTTATACTTTCCGCATATGTGTCGTAAGTATAAATTCTTTATTTAAATCTAACGAACGTACAAATAAAATTTATATATGTACATATATCTATTCGTGATTATGAGTAAATAAACCAGAAGCTTTCTAGTAGAAGAGGATCAAACTATGCATGAAGTATATTATGTCAATCTTCGTTGTGCATGGAAACATACGGGATAGTAATTGTTCACGTAATAAAAATATTCAAAAAATATTTTTCATCACAAAATACATTTAATAGTGTAACAATTATTAAATCACATCAAAATTAATAATAGCAAAAGTGATAGATAAGAAAGGTACAGTGTAAATATTATAGAGTAATAAATGTAACATAAAATAGAAAGGTATGTATATACATATACATATATTTGTTTTATATAAATAAAGTAAGCATACGAATAATAATTTCACCCGTATTTACTCTGTAAAGCTTAAGAGTTTGTATACAAGTCTCGTGAAGTTATCGGGACTTATTGAACGTCAATACAAAACGTGTTACAACTTATACACGAGAAGAGAACTTAATTTATATTCATTGAACTGAAAAACTTAATATCCGTTGCGTCTAACCGTTGAAACAAAACAGATGAGCCTAATGAATATATAAAATGATTTTATTAAACGTTATTAAGATATATTTAGTCTGTTATATAGTAAATGCCGATACAACAAAAGTAATACTCTATACGAAGATTTTTTTATTTATTTTTGTAACTATCTCACAATACTTACAGAATTTTATGTGGATACTTTGTGTTGTCTCAAGCAATGATTGATGAGTATGGCAATTCTATCGTAAAAAGAATAATATATTATTATTATATAAAGAAGTTTTTAATAAAGATTTCAGCAATTATTTGTAAAAATCTTAAACAAACCAAGCCTTTGTATTGCGTTTTTTAAGGCTTTTAAACCGTAAATTTATAGCAACCATTTATCTGTCTTGAAGATTAGAATGATAAATGTGTGTCGTATTATTATTGTCATAGAGTTTACTTTTGTTTATAATATTACGTATTAAAATATAGTTTGTGTTTATACACAAAAAAATAAATAATCCTTATTAACCATGAGATATTATAATTAGTTTAAATAATATTAAAAGCTAACTCACATGTGTTTAAGATAAGAAGTTAATAAAATTGTATTTCTTTCAAATTCTTTCAGGTCATAGTCGGAGTAGTGGTAGCGAGTGTCGCTCAACAACAAGATCAATGGATGCCATACAACAACAACTTTAATTATCAATCACAATTGCCATACGATCAACAGGTAACAAATTTTATTCATAACTCTGGTAATTTTTATCCTTTAAACAAAAAATAAATTGTGAACGAAACTGCTTTATATACATATATATAATATGGGAGTAACTCTAGATCTCGTTTATAAATCTCATATATAAAATTCTCGTGTCACAATGTTCGTTCCCGTACTCCTCCGAAACGGCTTTATCGATTTTTTTCAATTTTTATATGCGTATTCAGTAGGTCTGAAAATCAGCTACTATCTATATTTTATACCCCTAAGTTATAAGTGTTGTTCACCCTTAATTTTTTTCAAAATTTGGGACGTATTTTTGTTTTTCTTTTTTTTTAAATGTGTCATGAAAAATACATAAAATTCTAATTTTATCCTTTTTTATCACCAACCTCTATTTTCGTATATGGCAAAACAACGATCGTCGGTTCAGCTATTATTATAATAAAAATAACTCCTAATACTAAAACGATAAATGAGCACATTATATTTCGATGTCAAATTTGATGTAATTCAATATAGCCTGCGATTCTGCAGAATTTTCTTTCAACATTTTTACGGTCACAAATTACGTTGTCTTGATTGGTGGAGGCCTCTTATTATTTCTCATAAATCCAATCTGCTTTAACCAAGTCATTTGATGAAAGAAATAAAAAACTTGATTTGTGGATATGACCATGGGTAATGATTTTAAATCAATGTGTGCTTTTATGTATACGAGTATTTATATATGAATGTATGTATTTATATACATAATATGCATGATCTAAACTGATGTGAGTTTAAGTAAGAATGTTTAATATAAATGGGATTTCAATCCTACTTCCAGACTTAGTAGTAATTATACAAGCCGCGGCCTCAGAATACACTTACGAAGATTTTTTTTAAACATTTAGGTATTTTTTAATCATATTTCATAGAAAATTACTTTATGAATAATGGTACACCGTAATGTAATATTTTCTTTTTATATAATTTTGTCGTCCTTTGAACAAAAATTAAATTAATTTCTGTGAAGAAATGTTCGTTCCAATTGGAAATGTAGCTCATAAAATTTAATTTTATGTGGTTGAAGGAGTAAAAAGTATTAAAAAGCCTTATTGTTACATTAATATGTATAAATAAATATATATTAGAGATACTAAAATTCATATTGTATTAAAATACTATATTCTATAAATGTAATACAAAACTATTGCCTTTTCTTAGTTTTTGTTATAATCTATTATAAATGATTACGTAGCATCTGATATTGAGTAACAGTTACCTAATAAAAACAGAGCAAAACTAAAATCCATTCGTGTACCGCTAACTAGCTGTTATGCGGAACCAAATCTTTTTTATCTTTTGCCGCGCTACCTTTAATAAACTGTTACAGAATGAAAAGTGAAAAAGTAGATTTTAAACTTTCACAATACGTTCGTTATTTTTGCGAATATACATTTCAGCTTTAGAAGTTAAAACTTAGTAATTTTTTTGAATAATGGAAGCAGTTTTAGAAAGAAATAGTATTATTATAAAAAATAAATATTTTTTATTGTAATTTATTAATACTATTTCAGGATCGTAGTTCTAAGAAATGTATAATTTCATTAACAAAGTATTTGATTATGATAAAATTTTGTTGTGTTTACGAAACATCAATGGTGACCGAATTATTTATAGTTTCAGCCAAGCGATTACTCCGGTAACTTTGATTTTGGTGGTCAAGGACTATCCGAACATGGAGATTTTGGTGGAGAGCACGGTGGTCATGACCTAAAATCTTACTCCTACCCTGTCCACCAACACATAGAAGAAGAGAACCCGGAGCCTATCAAACACTACAAAGAAGTCGTTGTCCCAATTCCTAAGAACGTAGAATTCAAAGTTCATCAACCAGTTCTGATTCCAGTGCCTCATCCCGTCCCAATCCAAGTTCCAGTTCCCAAAGCAATCGTCATTCCCATCATCAAAGAAGTATCAATCCCCGTAGAGAAATCTGTACCTTACCCCGTAGAAAAGACGGTCCATGTTCCCAAAATCAAGGAAGTGCCCTTCGAAGTGATCAAGCATATCATTGTTCCCGTGGAAAAACCCGTTCCTTTTAAGGTACCGGTGTATGAAACCATTATACACACAAAGAAGGGATCTCACAAGATCTAATTCTATTTAAATCTTTGAACTTGTCAAATCCCTTTTCAAATTTCTGGTTTCATAAACGTGGTCAATATTTTTTCCATTCAGATGTATCCACCGTTTCATTATTTTATTTTTATTAATTGTTTGTGTGTTTGGAATCTGGTTTGTTTGTTCCTGTATGATTGTGTTGTAAATATTGTTTATTAGATTTAAGTGTTATTAAAATATTTGTTACAATATAAAGTTGAATTTATTTTAAACCCAACCGTTGATGGAAGTACTATATTCATATTAATTGTGATATCATTTCACAAACCATTTATGTTGATGGAATTGACATTTTAAATGTAAAATAATTGTACAATTTGACATATATTTGTCGATCATATGAAAACAAATATTCTCTGTAAATAATTTATATAAATATGAATAATGTATTTATATTCATATTTTTTTAATATTAAATTATTATTTTTGTTATTAAACTTTCTCAAAGATAATAATGCTCTTTGTATTGAAAATTAAAAATGTTGGTTGCTATTAGCAAATTATCCTGTTTGTGGAAGTATTCGCAATTACGTGGGAACGCTACAATATATGTTATTGTCAGTAATGTGGCTCAAAATTAATTGTATAATGAATATAAATAAAAGTAAAATATAATTTGGCTTCAGATTAAACGAACAAAAAGTATAAAAACGAAATTAAACAAAGCCTGTGGTCCCTTTAGTCCCATTATGTACCTGTGCCTTCTACTGCTAATTCTGTCCAATTAGTTTTACAGTTCACAATTTTTATTTAAAATTATTTTAAAAGAGTTAATAGACACATATATTTGAAGAAATTATTTTGTAAAATTATTTATGAACCACCGCGCAACAAAACCAAGTTTTCTTCTTTTATATCCCATACTTGGCTTGTTTTTAAGAAAAATATAGTAACATCTACTATCTTTTTCATCTGTTTGCTTGGAAAACCAAATGTTATAAAAAAATATCAAACAAACAACAAATGCTATGAAAACACGACTCTTTCGAAACATTTAATTAATTTTTTATTAATAAAACATTAATCTGCTTTTCATAAGCAGAATGACATACAAATTAACCAATTCGATATTAATAAAGTCAATTTGTTCGAACACAATATTTAAAATATTCCACATAGCATTTGTACATAAACAGTATAAATATTTCATATATCTAAAATGATTGTGATTTTTATTTCTGTCAAGCGGTTGTGATTTTGAAATGTAATATTTTCATTTCTTACAGTCGTCTATAAACCAAAGTGTTGTAAAAAATTCAAAATACGATATAAATGTTACTTAATTTAGCGCTATTTTGTTTATCATCACGTCAATGCATGTTATATATTTCTTAATCATTTTTATATCAAAATATTGTATTAATATACAAGAGTATCGTTTAAACATGTTATAATGCTATCCAACATTTAAAACCAGATCAAATATTGCCTTCTACCTGATTTCATCCGTTCATATTTACTTCAAACAAACACTCCCTCAAGTTGATTGCAGAAATGCAATCGAAACGCGAGATTTAAATTATACACCTGACGCAAAACTGTTTACACCGTTTTAGTTAAACTACCAACATTTATGCTTTCCTTACAAATTTAGATATTTAATATACTTTAGTTACATTCAAAATGGTTTATTTTATATAAGAAACTAAAATTGAACAGCATTTAATATAATATAAATAATTGTTTACACACATTTGTCAAAACTAGTCTCAGAAAATACAAAAAAATAGAAATGTCGAAGTTTATAAACTATGCAGCGTCTTATATTTAGTTAGGTAAATGGTATGTGCTGTAAAATAACTAATTTTATAATGAATAAAATTATTTATGTAATATTTTCAATTTATATACATCTTAACTTTTAGTTATTTTAAAAAGTTTATAGAGCGAGAAGTCTGCATAATCACTGCTATTGTTTATGGACATGCAAAGTAATACTCAACAACCAAGCAAAGGTATTGTTTTAAGATATTTTAAAGAAAAGAAATTCAAACAAGAGTTTTAACTTTTAAACAAAACGAACAATATGGAATGTACTAATTCTATTTAAAATCAATCTATTTTTAATAATTTTAATTATTCTTAGAAGTCAGTGGTGGCCTAGTGGTTAAAGGGCCCACCTCTCGTGCACGCGGGTTCAATCCTGGCAAGTACCAATGTGATTTTTCCGAGTCTAAATATTTTATGAACTTTCTAAGAGTATTTAGACACCATTGACAGACGGTGAAGGAAAACATAGTGACGAAACCTGGACTTATAATTTCACAATTATAAGTTTGAAATCACCAACCCGTCTTGAGCAAGCGTGGTGATCAATGCTCAAACCTTCTCCATGAGAGAAAGAGGCCTTTGCTCAGCAGTGGGCTCTGCTGATAGGCTGATGACGACTAATTATTCTTAAACTATTAAGTGTTTATAAGTTTATTATGAAAGCATATTATAATGTTTATGGTATTGGATATTTCATTTCATGAAAATCATATTGATATTGTAAAACTAAAAATTCTTATCAGACAAGACAGAGTATTTCTTTACTAATTTGTTTTTCTGTTTAAAATTGAATTTAGTGCCATATATAGCATCTATAGACTGAGTTTAAGTCTACATGTTCATATGTAACTGATATCGGTATTATACTGGAACGTTTATTTGATTAGGAAAACGACGATATATTTCCATTTATCCTAGCTATTTATATCAATGTGAGCATACAGCCTAGATACAAACTCGAATCGTACTTTATTTTAACATTTATTTATATATACATTTTAACTAAGGAAAAAATAATAATAAAATAAATCGAGATTGATCTAGTCAGAAAAGTAGTTGTTGTAGATGTCTCAGTGAGTTTTCTTACAAGATTTAATCACTAGGACAATTAAGGTTTTATCTATATGTGGTGTTGTGTTAAAAAAAGAAAAGCTTTTACGTTGCGTGAATCTTACAAGAGATAAAAGTTTAGTAAACAGAGAAGCCTTGAAACACGGAAAGAACGCATTTAGGCCAGGCCTAAATAAGATTAAGTAGGTTTCAGACGTAATACCTTGTCGAGCGAAAATTTTGGACTAATTGCTTTTATCCTCGGACTTTGAGTGATATAATAATAAAGGAGGTTTTTAAATACTATAATTCACTAATTGAACAATTGTACCAACTCGTTACCTTGGAAGTGAACTTTTAAATGTAACAAAAATAGTCAATTAATTGAAGAATATATTTTTCTTCAATGTTTGATATAACTTTATTATTTATGTAACGTCTTTATATTGTTTTGTGTTTGTTTCTTTTATCTTTAAAGCGACAAAGAGATAAGAGTTTAGAAACTACTAACTACTTTCAAACTTATAATTTCGAATCCATTTTTATACTTTAGATTTTAACTCCAATAAAAAATGGATATTAAAACCATCAATATGTTATATCATTTTTAAAGAATATAATTCATGCGTTAATAAATTTTTACTGAGTATAAATAGATTACTGGTTACCAATCATAATATAATAAAAGCAAAATGTGAAATATTCTGATGTAAAATTTAATAGCTATTTGGTTTACTCATAGTTGTCACAGTATATACATACTCATTTGGGTTTGAAGAAAAAATCTACTATTTCTACTTTGAAAAGAAACAGTCCATTATATAATTTAGAAATAATAATCAATAAACAATTAGAGAAAATAATATTGTTAAAATTAATGGAGCTATGTAAAATATTTATATATTTTTTAACATCACATTTAACATATTAAATCCATGCCTGAGATAAAATAAAAAACAGAAAGAGATAATCGATTACGAAAAATCATAAATCTTTTATAACACATAAGAATTTCCAAGAAAATTACATGTTACATAAAATATTACGCCCTTGTATAGCTGTTCAGTAAATTATTATAAAGCAACACAGAATTATGAACAACCATTTTTTGTTTAACCTACATTGTAATATTAGAAATATGATTGACTGATGATGACAATTAATTAATATAAATGTTAAATATTATCTTATATCTATAATTATATTTATAAATTAAGGCTCTGCTTCTTCTTCCTGGAAATTTGCCTGCCTTCCTGCTTAAACTCCTCCATTTTGCACGGTCTTTGGTTCTGCATTCCGTTATAATAAAGAAATATTAATAGACGGTTGTTAGGCAAAAGCAATAATTTTTGACCAAGTGCACAAACAGTTTTCTTCATTTTCAGTACATTTAATGAAAGGGAAATAGTATTTATATTTATACTTCAATATTAAATACGTCATCGTAAACTTGATTTTAAATTACGTTTACGATAAGTTTAGTATTGAAAAATATTTAAGAAGTTCTGTAAAACTCAATGTATGAGAGAATATAATCTTGTAACGTTTTTCTTATTTTATTCAAAAATCATAAGGTCGAGTTAAATTAAAATCTGGTCCACTTTATTATAATTATATCTTATTTTTTCTGTTATGTCTTTACAGTAACATTACCTCGATTTGTAAAACATACTTTCAAAATGTTATGAGCTTTTTATTTTCAAGAACCATATAGTTTTGTTTTAATTATCAAAAAAGTTTTAGAGATTATTAAAAAATAAACTTTTCATATTATGTAACAATTAATTATCTAACCAGGTAGGTATTCGCTACCGTATCACGTAAATTCTAGGACTCTGTAACATTCAAATAAAAAAATGTATATATATTCATTGAGTTTTACTTACAAAAAAATGTTTTATTGATATGCGATACTTCAATATTTTTGAATGAAATACATTTATGAAAAAAGTCGCTGAAATAAAAAGATAGATGGACCTGACAACAACAGCTGATCCATATTGAATATCTATGTTTATATAATATGCATAAATATTTATCGTTATAAAATATAATTAACCGATATTTATTCCCGAACTGTTGGTTTATGTTCAAATTCAAAATCATTATGTTTAAATATTACAAATAATAATATTTTTGGAATTATGAAAAAAATCTCTTGTGTAAAAAAAGCCTTTCCAAATATTATACATAACTTGAGAATAACTTTTGTATATTCACAACATTTTGACTTTATCATATCGTGGTTCGTGGCCTAAATTATACACAGTCATATTTGTATATTACATTGAGTATGATTTTATTTTGAATTTTAAGCGATATGACTGTTTTTGTGAAAAAAAGTCAATGAATTATCAACGACATATTATTTTATACTGACAGCTTAAAACGTGAAACTTATTTTATTCTGAAATGAAATTAACACAACTAAAATAATAACATATGTGACTTATGTTAGTTTTATTATAACTAGTTTAATGAGATTATTTCCTTCCCCGTTCTTTTAACATTTTATTTTATGTATAACTACAGACATATTTTAACGATTTTTTTTTAATGTAAAAAGTGGCAAACGAGCAGACGGGTCACTTAATGGTCAGTAGACACCGTCGCCCATGGACACCAGCAACATAGATGTTACGGATGCGTTGCCAACCTTTGTTGTCGAAGAAAAAGGAGGGGTGGGAAAAAGGAAAAACCAGGAAAGGGTGGGAACAGGGAAAGGGCAACCGGCTCTCTCACTCATCAAACGAAACGCAGTCTTTACTGACTACCTCACGCCGATCTTCTGTGCGAGGGTGGTACTTCCCCGGTCGAGCCAGCCCAGGTTCGAGCTGTAGTAATTTAACCACACCTAGGCTCTACCACCTTAAAATATATATTTACTTCATACTTTTAAACAAATACATATAACAAAATAGGAATTAAAAAAACGTTAACAGTTTTAATTATAATCACAACGGGAAATATGCGAAACAAATAAATAACAAGGAATATATTCCAAACACTCTATGACAAACCTCAATTGCATCAAAGAACTTATCTATGGAGAGAAATATTACATTTCACAAAGCGAAATTTGTAGTTACTGCAGTTCACGATACAGTTGATACGTTATATGCATCCAAGATTCAATCTTAACATATGCATGCACATTTCACAGAAAGAAAACTCACAGAAGGAGCAATGTAAGGTAGAATTCAATATCTCAGTATTATGGTTCCTTGTCAAGATACTCCTTTGTCTACAATTTGAAAGATCGCGATTTTTCTTCCAGCAATAGCCTCTCAAAACCATATTGAAGTCGTTATATTTAATAATATACAATGGGAATTACTATTCGCGGCTATCGTTTCCATTTATATGAAACTGTTATAATGTAATACTGCATACTATTGCACTTTATATCTATTTATATAGAACTCATTTATAATTTTAAAGTCATACAAAATTGAAAAATAATTTGTATATAAAATAAAACGTCATAATATAGAATAAATATATTTTTGTTTCGAAACATTTATTGAATATTTTGCTATATTAAAACATAAGGAACTTGAATAATAAAACTATATACCAGTAAATATTTTGTTTTAATTTTAATTTTGGGCATTATAATTATGTAGATTTTCAGATGTAATATAAATTTAAAAGAAAATTCTGTTTATTAAATATTATACACAGATTAATTTCGATATGCTATAATGCTTGGCTTTTAATTTATTAAATTACGTTAGGCATCAGTAAGTTTGGACTTTAAAATGATAAATTTATATGTAATTCATTCTAAAATAGTACAATATAGGATTTAAATTTTGATAAAATTAAATATAAAAACTTGAATAATTTAGTTTCCCACTTTAGGAACACAATATGGATAAAATATTTTATTCTATTATTATTTTTGTGTCAATATCTTTCATGTTTGAATGACATATGCAGAGCAAAATATTTGTCACTTTAAGCTAAAGGATTGAATCACGAGGAAGTCATAGATTGTCTATTGTCTCACGTATAATTGACACCATATTTGTTAAGCTATAAACCATAAAAATTTTCAATAAGTAACTCTTGTTAGTATACCTTCTGATATCAAAACAAATAGTTGATTAAAAAATCAATAGTGAAAATGAAGTTGAATATTAATTTAATGAGGTTAATCATACAATTATCTATATTACTCATAATGATAGTGATGTTCTTTATTATAACGATGTTTTTATACAGTGTTAAGTATTGGCCAGATGTGAATAACTATATAAATGCAAATATAACAATAAAAAGAATACCAAAGATATCAGAAATAGAAGTAAATTTGACGGTATACGATACGACTGATATAAATGAGACGACTGATTTAAACGATTTTACTGATATAACAACAGAGTATTATGGTAACGATTACTTTTCATTAGACGAAGTAGAAAATAGAAGAAGAAGACGTGTAGAACAGGATATAGATTATAGTGATATACCAACGAAAGAAGATATCGATGATTATATTTTCGAAGTTCAGCCAGAGAGAGATTTGGTCAAAGATCTGGCGCAAGAAAATGAATTGACTGCCAAAGAAACAGATGATGTTGAAATCTTACCAGGAATATTTTATGGAAAAGAATATTTAGAACTTGTAAGTATAAATAATAACAATTGTTATAAATGTAATTCTCATGTAAGTGATAATAGTGTGTTAATGGGAATAAAAAATATCTTAAACCTTAAATAATCTTGCTTGTATACCAACTACACCTAATTAAAAAATATCTCATAGGTATTTGCATCAATTATCATATTTTTACACGATCTTTTGATAAAAAAATATATAATTATGTACAACAAATTATATCTATTTAATTCTTGTAAGTTAGGTTTACGAAATAAAGAAAAAAATATGCAAAATCTTTGCAAAAAAATATTTAAAATTTATATTATTTTGTCTTATCTAAAAAACTATTCTATTTAAAGAACATTTAACATAAAATCTATCTATTATATATAATATAAAATCTATCTATTTATCTAATAAAACGTAGCATTTACTCAATATCTGCCATATAAAAGTTTTAGATATAAACATTTTGAAACTTTATTTCCGACAATGGCTAAACTGTTGCAAAATGTTATGCGATGACACTAAGTTTCGTGGGAAAACTTCGTGTGATAAAACAGTAATTTATTGTTCTCGTATAACAGAGCTAACCATAAGAGCAAACTAAGATCTTATTGAAATTTATCTGTAGCTTGTGATCACGTTATGGTAAAATAATTACTAATATATATAGTTTTATTTGAATTTATATTTAACCAAATATACTTTCACTGTGTATGATAAAATTTCAAATATCAATGTTCATGATTTTTTCACAATTAATAATATTAATTTATTTTACTTTTTGATCCATATAAGCATTTTTTAAATATCTATTATTAAATTTCAATAAAAAATCTTTTTTATATTCTATTGGAATAAAAGGAAAAGATAAAATAAGCTTCATTTTAATTTAAACACATTTCACAATTATAGTTTTATTATGTTCAAGTTGCATTCAAATATCTATAAATGTTGTAGTAACATTGCATTAAATATAAAAGGTAAACTAGTTTTCTGTCCATCAGCCGAAGCTTGAAGCTTACACTTAGAATAGGCTTCACTTATTGTCCAAAGTAATCTATCAAAGTCAATTTTAGCACGAACTTCTCAAGGTGAGGTCATTGTGTAAGATCTTATGTGGAAACAAACGAATTTAGACATTACGAAAATTTATATAAGGATGAGTTTCACACGAACCATAGCTATAAGATGTAATTACAGCGAAGAAGCCTGCATTTGTTTAATATCATGCGCGAAGCATTCACGTTCTCGTATTTGAATTTTAATATAAATTAAAAATGAAGTTGATATTAATAGATTTATTACTTGTGTTGTTTGTTAAAGTTATGCCAGTTTATAGTGAGTGCGATACTTTTATTGAATGCATTCAAGACAAATTGTTTGGTTCTTTTATAAATTTGAATTCTACAGACACAGAAGTTAGTGACGTCGATGTTCCAGATTTCGAGAATGTTAATTTAGAATCAGAGAGTGTTGATGCAATTTTGAAATTCATATCTAATTTATTTGAAGAATTCGTTGCTGATTTTGATTTGAGTTCACAGTTCAACGTCGTTCGTAATAATAGTAATAAAACAACAATATTTATTAAAACCTTTGAAACTGATAAATTAAACGAAACCTTTGAGAATGCCATAGAAAATAAGAAAAATGTTAATGTAACATATTTAAATACAACGAATAAATCAAAGGATGCCGAAGTGAATACTGAGTTACCAACTAAAGAACATTTTGGAGCTACTATAATGAGCGGAAAAAATGAAACAAAAAAATTAAGAGTGGAAACTCTCCACAATCCGGTTTTAGATGTAAATGAATTGTCAAAAAAAGTGAAGGAAAACGAGATTTTGGACACAGATTCGATAGATTACGATTTAATTGATAATAGTACTGATTATCCAATAATTGATTACATAGATCTATACAAGGATACTACTAATGAAGATGTAAATATGAAAACTACTGTTTTGACATATCCATTAGATGATACCGTTGGTATACAAATAACTACACTTAACACTTATATAAATGAGGAAAGATACAATAAAGTTTACGTAAGTAATTAATTTAAATATTTCTTAATGAGGTTTAATTCCATTACTGAGATACCGATCGTACTTGAAGTGTAGACAATGAAAGACGAACAATTTCGTTATCATTCTTATACTTACGTTGGTTTCTTTAAGATTTTATTTCCCATTTTATATATATAAAACTTAAAGTTTTTTTTATTTTTTATCATATCATGTTAAGATCGAAATAAAATTAAACGTTGAACTTGAATAAAATTCGACGGAATTATTTTTTTTTAGTATGATTTAATCTTAAAAAATGACATTGCATTTTAATTCATTACGAATATTTAGAGGTATTTTGTATTACAAAAACAATATTAAGTCGAACAAAACAAAGATATCTAACACTATCCAAGAAAAATATCTTCAATTATTTTATATTTTAACGGTTATAACGTTTTTTTTTTTATTTTAAAGGAAACAGTATTGCGGTATCAATCACTATATTCTTACCCAATATTTAATTCATCTAAGGATATATTAATTTTAAAATTAACAAATTGAAAACTATATTTTTTTTATATCTGATATTTTCACGAGTAAGCCTTTGATTTAAAGTATAATTTTCTTATTTATAGCTAGACATATTATGCTACATGTTACGCAACTTAGACAAATCTGCAGTTTTATTTCAACATTTTGTTTTTAATCTCCCTTCATATTTGTGATCATATCTACCATAACTGATGGCCCTGGTTGGTGGTCGTCTTTTAACCTCTCGTAATCTCTTAAATTGCCTAACACCACACAATTTAGAAACTATTAATCACTCAATATTTGATTACTTAAATTTTAATAACTTGCAAATGAATACGTAACAGACATGGATATGTTAATTTTTATTAATTATTTAAAGAGAACAATGAGTTTTAGAATGATTTTAGATTAGATAAAATATTTCTTACTGTATTATGTAATTAAAATGTTTAACCCATAATAATAACTACTTTTCTCGTTGCGAATAACATGAAATTTAAACATTCTATTGAGACGTCTCCAAAATGCAGCCAAGAGACCGGACCGAATTTCAATTCAAAAATATCCATTAAAATGCATAGTTTTCGATATTTTTTTATATCATTATAATTACTACAATTAATAAATTTACGCTTTCACACGCTAGCATACAATTGTAATGAATTTTTGAATACCTATCACTGGTAACAAGAAAAATATTATGATATTAATTTAGGACGCCTGTACGACGAATTTTATACAATGAAAACATAAATAAAAGTACTGAAAAATATCATGGTAATATATTTAAATATTTTGCCATTGGTTGTCTTTACTGTGCCAAATATTGCGTGCCGGTTTTAATAATAATTGCGGCCGTAAACTTTGTACGGACGGTTTTATTTTGTTTTTTATTCAGTTTTATTTAGAATTACGTTGGTAATGTCCTCTTAATATTACAGCTATAAAAAGCATTCGCACAATTTGATTTTATTGCATTTTAAATGGAAATGCGGAAAGTTACTGGTAAAATAATATTGATGTTTATTTTGAATTCAAAATCATATATGAAACATTTCGAATAATATGTTTAAGCTTTAGTAATGTTGTATGGACTGTATTTAATATTTTCATAATAAAATTAACTTGTATTTCAAACGTATTAATTACATGACATATAATTTATTTGGCATTTGCTCATGTAATATTGTTTACGAAATTTATATGAAAATATATTTGTTTTCATTATACGTATCTTTCTGAAAAAAAATATAAAACTTGTTAAGAACTTGTGAAGAATGTCTTCAATAGTCTAAACAAATAATTTGGAAATATTGACTATTATATTGATTTTTTTAATCAAATATAATTTCTTTTTCAGACTGAAGATTGCACTAATTCTACTGATATCGAAAAAAATATATTTCCATTTGTTACGGCGATATTTATTAAAAACGAAACAAGTAATCAGTTTGATTACTACTGCGATGGAGCGTTATTATCAGAAACAATTATAATAACAGGTAAATACTATTACTAATAAATGAATTTTACTTCACTGACTGACGGTGAAGGAAAACATCGTGAGGAAACCTGGACTTATAATTTCATATTATAAGTTTGAAATCGCCAACCCGTCTTGAGCATGCGTGGAGATTAATGCTCTAACCTTGTCCATGTGAGAAAAGGCCTTTGCTCAGCAGTGGGTTATGATAGGCTGATAATGATTTTTTCTCTTCCTTACATTATATTTAATTTGTTTAATATAGGTACTGATGCTAATATTTTTGTTATTCTAAATTAACGCTTTCTCAGTCTTAGGGTTATTTATTTCACATACACCTTTTTTGTTTTTCAAATATAGTCCTTATATAATCAACGCATGAATATTGTAACAAGTGGTGGTGTAAAAAATATGCATTGTTTTCATGATTCCTGTGTTTTTTAAAGGTTGCAAACAAGTATTCTATGATTATAATAATAATAAATGAATAATTTTATATAAATTTCAGTGTTTTGAAAATTTTTATTTATTTAAATATAATCACTGTGTACTTAATATTTATGAATAATAATAGATTCTTTTATTAGACTATGATATAAATTATTTATCTACAGGAATCGTTATTACTTATACCCACTTGTATTATACATTTTACTTATGAATTAAATTAAATGTTATGATGAATATTGATACCAAAGAATATCAAATCAGACAAACTTAACTTAATACTATTCGTATTAGTTTTGTAATTAATTTCATATGCATTATTTGATTATTGCAGCTGCAAGTTGTATTCAGAAACCTAACGCAACAGCAGACGACATTCTAGTTATATTAGGAAAGAGATCTCTTCGTGAAATGACAAACAATGAAATGATTTCCAAGGTAAAGATACTCATGCTAATATTAAATGTTGATCCATACTAATGTTTCAAGATTTTGAGTGTAAAAAATTTGGTTGATTTTAGATAAAAGAAGTCCATATACACGACAATTTCACTGGTTCAAATCACGACGTAGCAATCATTGAAATGGCAGAACCGGCGACATTAAGTGATCGCATCCAACTCGTACGTCTCAGCGGGGATCGCGGCAAATCTGCAGTGAGTGAGATATCATTAGTCACAAGTATATTTTTTATACATTAGACCTTAATTTACTTTCACACTTTCCATTATTACATTTTATTCACGTTATAAAAGTGTTTTTTTGCTACTATAAATCAACATATTTAAAAAATCCAAATGAATTTTTACTGATTTAGAATATTTTTTTTATATATTTATTAATATGTTACTATTACTATAGATTATTTTAGTTTTTATTATTCACTAAAAAAAAATAGGAATGAATTAGATAAATTCTATATTGTTTATTTCTAATTAACGAGTTTTATAAGCTAGTCGTTAATCACACATAAAAATAATTGGATAAAAATGTATTTTTAGACAACCGGCTGGGCTATTTCTGGTACTCTGACGCTAATACCTTTTGAAGACGAACCTACAGGCTGTAACGAAACATTACCTGAAAATACATTTTGTGCTGTCTACGGAAATGGTGAGACCATGTTATCTAGTTGAATAATTTAAAATAATTCGTGATTATTTTGATGTACTGATAGTATTTTCTATACTTAGATGTCAGCGTTTGTCCAAGTTACGGAGGTCTGTATGCTACCAGAGGAATAGAGGGATGGTTTCTTCGAGGTATACGTAGTGGCGATCCTACTAATAAAGGTTTTTGTGTAAATCGATCTTTAGTTTACACAGACTTAAAATACTATAATGATTGGATAAATATGTATGTGAAATAAATATGTATTTATGTATTATTTATTAAATGAAAGTATTTTATGGACAGCAATAAAACAAGTTTTTAGAAAAACTAAAAAAACACGTCAAGCAGTTATATTGTTTTGGAGCTTTAAAACGGCTTGAATTTAATTTTACTCGATTATACTGAAAACCGTTACTATGTATCCAAAACTTCGCCTTGCTTCATAAACCTATAAACATATTAAAGTATTTTATTTTGAAGTTACTAATGTTGTTTCCAAATTTTAAAGGAACAAAACACATCTTGACACACGAATCAATATTATATTGTAATAAAAAGACTAGAAAATTATGCTTGGAACATGTTTTGACATAAGTAATCTCTTTTTGTTTGAGTTTTTGTGGATGTTATTGAACTTTATGTTGTTATTAATAAATTCGATGTTTTTTTTTGATAAATCGTTTAGAACAGTTTGTAAGAATAACAGTTCAATCGGCTTTTTGTAGTTACCAAGATGGATATTTAATTTTTTATACATACATACTCATGAGAGTATGTATATATGATATCTAATGGGTTTGTACCGACTGTTAATAAAAATATGCTTAATATTTATTTTCTAATAATTGTTTCAATAGAAAGAAGATCTTAGTATATTTTGTTACTGATTTTGCTGCCTAATTAGCTAATTAGGGTTGTCAGCTACCTATGTGACAGTGACAGCGTACGATTTCTTATTTTTTATATAAAATATATATTTTTTAACAAAACTGGTTAATCTTTTAAAACCTCTAATTACATAATTATTAGGTTTTTATCTTCAAAACGTTGAAGACTTCTTGACCTTTACTTTACTCTTGCCCAAAATTTGAGAGACCCATTCTGTCCGGTCCAATAGACTAAGGATCTCATCAAATCATTTATAAGATTTTTTTGATATATTAATGGATGCTTGACAGTAACAAAAATAAATGTCTTATACATCAAAATGTATCTCTACTTTATGGTTTCATGATACTTGAAAAAACTTGTGTGGAGTCAAAATGTATTTTAACTTTTTATATTCGGTAGATATACTATTAAACATAATTACAAATTTTCTGCGCTAGTGTAAAAACAAAATACGAAAATTGTTGTTGTTGGGAGTCGAGAAATGGTTAAATTTAGGAGAGATTTATTAAATACACTGTTTTTGGACAATTTTGTTGAGACAGGAGGAATATTCATCAATCAGACCGACAGGAACATATTATATTTCACTTTATTTTCGTACATCGTTGTATTTAACCAAGAATTTTCTCTTACATTTTCAAGATCTGGGAGTTGTAATCAAACAATTGTTTCTTTATTGTATGTATATCTTATAAAATTTCTTATTTTTATTTTCATGTCTTTATTTTTGAATCTTAATGGTATTAGAAAGAAGCTTGAGAATGGTTAATAAATACCAAAAATTACGTGCTTCGTCCGCAAAGTACATGTGTGGTAAACGCTTCTAAGATAAAGGAATGCGAAGCGCAAATACAAGTGAAGTAACTTTAAAGGGAGGGAGCTGGAGGCATGGGCGCTGACTGCCGGACTGTCCCTTCTCAACTCGGGGACGGTCCAGACGTGCGTGCGACGGTTGGGAGGTTCAGTGGTGGACGTCTCGTTCGCCACTCCGACCATCGCACGCAGAGTGGAGGGATGGAGGGTTGAGGCAGGAGTGGAGACGCTTTCGGACCACCGTTACATACGGTTCGAAGTGTCTCCTACTCCTGCCGGTCGCCGGAGTCCAGTGTCGAATTCCTCGTCGCCTCGGGAGAGAAGTCGGTTCCCGCGTTGGGCGCTGTCAAAGCTCAACCGGGAACTGGCTAAAGAAGCGGCCGTCGTCGGTCGCTGGAGTCTCCCGGAGGGTGCGGAGTTAGGGGTGGATGAAGGGGCTAGCCGCTTTGGGGACGTTCTTCAAAACGTCTGCCGAGCGGCGATGCCCCCCGTAGGACGTCCCCCTCCGCGGGGAGCGGTATACTGGTGGTCTGAGAATATCTCAGACCTCCGGGTCGCCTGCAACGGGGCCAGGAGGGCATACACCCGGAGTAGGCGACGCCGCCCCCAGGACGAGGAGCGAGATGGTCGGCTGTACAGGGTCTATGTGGAGAAGAAGTTGATCCTGCAGCAGGCCATCCGCCGGGCCAAGGAGGCAGCCTGGCTGGAGCTGGTGGAGGGTCTCGATCGAGACCCTTGGGGCCGACCGTACAAGCGGGCGCGGAACAAACTCTGCGCCCAGTCGGCCCCCATCACGGAGGTGCTCCAGCCGGCTGCTCTGAGGGGGATCGTCGGGGAACTCTTCCCCGACGCTCCAGCGGGATTTACTCCCCCCAGAATGGCCCGGCTGACGCTGGAAGAGGGCGACCGCGTTCCGCCCACCGTCACGGAGTCTGAAATGGAGGCGATTCTGGCTCGCCTCCAGAGTAAGAAGAGCGCACCGGGTCTGGATGGGGTGCACGGGAGAGTTCTCGCTCTCTCCCTGGTGCACCTCGGTGGAGCCCTCAAGGAGCTGTTCGACCTCTGTCTGAGGTCCGGGCAGTTCCCGAGGGCCTGGAAGGAAGGCCGGCTTTGCCTTCTTCCAAAAGGCAACCGGCCTCCGGACTCGGCTTCGGCGTGGCGACCGGTGGTTGTGCTGAACGAGGCGGGGAAGGCCCTGGAGAAAATAATGGCCACCCGTCTCGTTCGGCATCTGGAGGAAGGCTCGGGCCCGGGACTGTCAGAGTTCCAGTTCGGGTTCCGAGCCCATCGGTCGACCGTCGATGCTCTCAAACGCCTGAGGGCGGTGACGGAAGAGGCGGAACGCAGAGGAGAGGTAGTGGTTGCGGTGTCGTTGGACATCGCAAACGCGTTTAACAGCCTCCCACACAGCGCGATACAGGTGGCACTCGAGTATTTCGGAGTGCCCCTGTATCTGAGGAGGCTGATAAACAGCTACCTCTCCCAGAGGAGGGTGGCAGTCGAGAGCCGGAGGGGGTCCATAGAGTGGTGGACAGTCGAAAACGGCGTGCCACAGGGGTCGGTCCTGGGACCGGTCCTGTGGAACGTCGGATACGACTGGGTCCTGCGGAGTCGTCTCCTCCCCGGGATGGGTGTCATCTGCTACGCCGATGACACCCTCGTCTTATCCCGGGGACGAAACTACAGGGAGGCGGCGCGGCTGGCCGAGGTCGGAACTGACCTCGTGATCAGCCGCATAGAGAGGTTGGGGCTTCGGGTGAGAATAGACAAGACCGAAGCCCTCCTCTTCCGCGGGACTGGGCGGAAAGGACCCCCGCCGGGTGCCACCCTCCTCATTGGAGGAGGGAGGGTCAGGGTGAGTCCCACCATGAAATATCTGGGGCTCACTCTTGACGGAGGGTGGACCTTCGTGCCTCATTTCAAGGAACTGGGGCCGAAGGTCGTGAGGACGGCAGGTGCGCTGGGAAAATTCCTCCCGAACCTCGGAGGACCCAGCGCAGCTTGCAGGCGGCTATACTCTGGGGTCTGTCGGAGTATAGCCCTGTACGGTGCTCCCGTTTGGGCTGATCGCCCAATGAGCCGCAGGACCAAAGCCCTGCTGCGCTCTGCGCAAAGGGCTCCTGCGGTGAGGGTGATTAGGGGGTACCGTACGGTCTCCTGGGCCGCAGCGACTGCCCTTGCCGGCGATCCGCCTTGGGATCTCGTGGCGTCGGTTCGAGCCGAGTTGTTCTCCTATGTCTCGGGTAGGAGGACACTCGGCGAGAACCCTTCGTCGGAGGAGATCCGAGCGGTTCGTCGGCAGGGGGAGGAGCGCCTTATGCGGGAGTGGGGGGAGGACTTGGCGGAGCAGCCGTACGGTAGACGTACAACGGCAGCGCTTCGCCCGGTCCTAGAGCGTTGGATGAGGCGGAAACGCAAACCCCTCACTTTCCGTCTGACGCAGGTCTTAACCGGGCACGGGTGCTTTGGTTACTACCTGTGTCGGACGGCCAGGAGAGAGCCGGGAGAAGGCTGCCATGAGTGCGGCGCTGCGGTGGACTCGGCCCAGCACACCCTCGAGGTGTGCCCGAGATGGGCTGCGCAGCGCCAAGACCTTGTGGCGGCTCTCGGCGGAGTGGACCTGTCGCTTTCGAGTGTCGTGGAGAAGATGCTCGAGAGTGATGGGTCCTGGTTGGCGGTGTCCTCCTTCTGTGAGACGGTCATGTCCACGAAGGAGGCATCTCAGCGGGAAAGGGAGAGGGCGGCTGATGCTCCCTCCCCCCGCAGGCGACGTACGGGGGTGCGTCGGAGGCAATTCCTACGCCTCCAATAGCACCCCTGTGTTCCGGGCTGGGGTCGGCGTGGTAACCCGGCCCTTTTGAAAGCCCGGCGTCGTCGGGGTGGTCCTAATTGCCGGGATCGCCCCCATTCTCCGAGGGAGTAAGTCCGGTCTTTGCCAGGACCGGCCAGTCGCTGGTGTGCCCTGTCGCTGACAGATCCGGGGTACACCGACATAGCGGCCGATGGCTTTCGCAGTGGTTTTAGTGAGTAGGGGCCTGCCCAGGCCGAGCCTCACACATCCCTTCCGGCCCCACCAAGGCCGGTTGGACGGCTCGTAAAAAGAGTTTCCACTACGTCATCAAAAAAAAAAAAAAAAAGTGAAGTAACTTTATTAATAATACTGGTAAATTTAAACTAAATATATATAGAATATAATTTGTCCTTAAAATAACTGAAGGATGAACCAATTAATCCCCCAATATTAAATGAGGACTAACTCGCTAAATACAGAGTGATTGATTGTTATTGTATAATTATATTCTTATATCTTTGGTATAATTTCAAACTGATAATTAAAAAAAAATGTCATACCATTGAAAGTCATGATTGTTTCAGCATCCTTTACGAAGTAGCTGTATAGTTAAGAAGTTACAGAATCTTATCAATGCTTAATTGTTTTATTCTTTACAACGAGCAGCTCGCTTCTGAGCTAATG